AGACCCCTCCCAGCCACTTAAACCCCCACCCCGGCACCCCGCTGGGCCAGCTTCCCATAGCAGAGGCCAGCCCTGCTCCCACCAAGGCCCTCTAACAGTCCACCCAAGATGGAAATGTCTCTGAGGTCCCTGTCTTCAGAGGTCTGTCTGCTTTGCTCCTGGACTTTGGGGAAGGTGGTTGGCCCATGTCTAAGAAATCTGCTTCAGATGAGCCTCCCTACACCCGGTGGATGACCTCGATGTCTGCACACGTGTTCACCCCTCAGCCTCTTTCCTGAGCCCAGCAGGCTGACACGTGACTTTCACCAGCTCTTCCAACCCGAGTTCTTGGATTTTAACCAGCTCCAATTCAGAGTTGAGCACCACACCTTTCCCTGCCCAGCCCCTCCCCGAGTCCTCACTCTCCATCACACTGGCACTAACGCTCCCTCTCTCTGCTGCTCTGTTTTTTAGCACGAATCAGCAGTATATAATTCCACATTCAGTTTCTTTTTTTTCACAAAAATATTTCCCTTTAATAAAGACTTTCTCATCATGTTTAATGGGAAACAACTAAAATGTCATGAAAACAGTCCAGAAGGGAAATTTTTGCTATTTATCTTTCCGATCATATATTTTTTCTTCAAAACCTGTACATATTCTGGTGATGTTTTCAAAAGCAGGTCCTGATACAGATATGACCCATCTGTAGATCCTAGAGGAGACACTCCATAGGACTCAGATTCAAATTCAGCAGCAGCTCAGAGTTCATTTCCTTATTAAGCATTTCTTTCTGCTTTTGTTTGGCAAGGTGATTGGTCAGGATTCCCTCCTGTAAGATTCTGGCATTCCGTTCTCCAGAAGGCTGCTTCTGAGTGTCATATGTTGCTTCCATAACCTGGAGAGACATTGATTCAGATCATTTCTCAGTCTTCAGTTCCATCTAGTGCTCTGAGAGTGAGTTCAAGTTCCTGTTTCATTTCAACTTCTTTACTATGTTGGTCTTCCTTTCTTCTTAACTGCTCCCTAATTTTTCAAATAACGTATCAGCATTTCTTCTATTCTCTTCTTCTTGCTTTAATATATTATTTCCATGAATTTCACATTCCACTGTGCTAACGACGCATTCTCCCCTCAAGCTGCCGAGCTCTCGTTGCCACTCTACTTTCTGATGCCCTAACTGTGATTCACTTCTTTTCTTCCGGACAGTTCTTTCTGTAGCTCACCAACCTTATTTTCCAGTTTTTTAATTTCTCCTCTAAGTAGTTCACAGTGGCTTTTTAAAAGTTCTATTTATCTTTCACACGAAAGAATTGCATCCCGAATTTTCAGTAAGCTAACACAGTCTTTATACCTCAAGCCCAGTGGTTCTACTTGCAACGTGGAATTCTTAAAGACATCGCCATCCTGGGAAGCACTTTCAGATGACTGAGTTAAGTCATTCAGGTAGCTCACGTCATTAATCTGTGCTTTGACCTGTGAATGGTTATTCTCATCTCCATCAGATTTTTCTTGTTCTTCCTCTCATGTCATTTCTAAGTCTAGTTCTGCTGACAAATCTTCTACTTGTCCACTTAATGGCTTTTTTCCTCTTTGACCAGCAGCTCCAGATTAATGATCCACATACTTCTGTGGAAGTCTCTCAGAGATACTCTGGAATAATGCAGCAATTTTTGGATAAATGTCACTTCAGAACCCAAAGTGTAGGGTGGAAAAATCAGGATATTGTCATTATCCTCAAATTAAAAACAATTAGGAGCCCAGTGGCGGCGGGACCCACGCACTGGCCAAGCTCACCGCTGGCGCCTCGCCGGCCCCATGTGGAGGGGGCCTGGGTTTGACCAGCCAGCTGCCCACCCCTCGGGCCAGAGGACGACCGCCGCCCTCCCGGCTCACAGGGCCCCGGGGCCCCTGCGCACCTTTCCCACTGACAGGGCCCCGTTTGCGCGCTCACGCCCCCTGCGGTGCCGGTGCGGCTTGCCGCTCACACGCTCCCCGCAGCCGGGTCACCGCCCACACCACCCCCGCCCCCCAGGCGCTGCTGGTGCTGGAGGCTCTCACGGCCCCTGTGCGCCGCAGATCCTCGCAGAGGCCCGGCCTAAGCTTTCCGCCAGGCGCCTGCTCTGTGTTCTGCGCAGAGGCTCTGGAGCCGGCTGGGAGCTGCCCCGCGCAGGCGAGGGAAGGCTGCCTGAGGCGGGGCCCTGGGGGCGGGGGCGGGCGGGTGCCTCCCGGGGCCGCTGCTCTGGGGCTGCACAGCCGCGAGCGGGATGGCGGGTGTGCCTGTGGTTCCACTCCGTGGCTGTGGGTGGTGGCTTCCTGCGCGCGCGCGTGGGGGTCGGCGCCACTTCCTCAGTGACCCCCGCCGCCCCGCGTCCTTGAAGCCGCTCCACATTCAGTTTCTTGTGCTTGTCTACTGAGGGCAGAGGCCTTGCCGGCACATAGTAGGTATTCAGTAAATATTTGTGGACTGGCTGGCTGGCTGGATGAGACAAAGGTGCAGAATTTTTCTGTGGCCTCAGCAGCGTGCAGTGTGGGTGCATTTGCTGTCCCATGGCGCCCTCTGGTGGACGCGATGCTGACGCCAGGCTGAGGACTGACCCATTTCTCCTTTGTTTTCAGCATGGTTCCCAGCCCTGTGCTACCTGGGATCAGTGAAGGTTTAATTCGTTGTTTTCGGTTCCTTGTTATTCAAGAAGTTATTACTATTACTGTTTTTAAGCTCAGTGCTTTTTAAAATTTTTAAAATACCTGTATGTATTTGACTGCGCTGGGTCTTAGCCGTGGCACATGGAAATCTTTAGTTGTGGATACGGCATATGGGATCTAATTCCCTGACCAGGGATTGAACATTGGGAGCACGGAGTCTCAGCCCCTGGAAAGTCCCTGAACTCAGTATTTTAAAAAGTAAAAACAGAGACGGATCTAGGTTAGAAAAAAGTGCTTTTATTCTAAACGTCCATGTGGACTCACTCCTTTCTTCCTCCCTCTGAGAACCTCGATGAAAGTCTGTTGGTCTATAAAATGGGTGCACTGTTATCAGCCTGGAAGTTCATAGGGAACATGTGATCCGGCCACAGAGGAAGGCACTTTGGAAACTGGAAATGTCAAAATCAGATCTTGGCAATCATCACCATATTTATCTATGTACTTGGCGCTTTTCTTGAAACTCAAGCAAGTTCTCCCAGCCTGGGGATGGTGCTGGTGTGTTGGAGGACTGGTTGCTGCCTGAGTCTGAGTTTCCTGGTGCCCAGGTGGACCTGTGGCTAGACGGCGTATGGAGCTTGGCTGTCCCATGCCGGGCCTGTCGGGGAGAGGACTTCAGGGCTGCTGCGCCTGTGTTGCAAGTAAGTCAGAGCTTCTGCACCCGGAGGACTGCGTCCCCTTCAGAGTGGGCCCAGCAGCACCTGGTGATCCGAAGATGTCTCCAGGCCTTCAGACAGACACGCCACTGGCCTCAGAGCAGAGCGACCCCTTCTTCGGGCTGGCTGGGGTAGGGAAGTAGCAGAGCTGTTCCGAGAGGGCAGGCCTGCGCGGGCCTCAGCAGAGCCTGGCAGCGGCCAGGCGGTGACTCTGAAGGAGCGCTCTCCTTTCCTGACATGCTCCACACGGCGTCCTCATGGAGGACAGGGCAGGGAGAGGCACTGGAAGCAAAGTTAACCCTCAGACGTTTCGTTTGAACGTTGCTGCTTTAGTGATTTGAGGTCTCACATTGCCCCCACAAATTCCTCAAAACAAAGTATGTGCCACTGGCACTTGCCTCTGCATTCCCCAGAGCAGTGATGACCAGAGTGATGACTGGCCACGCTTTCCCAAACACACCGTGGCACCCACCTCGGCTGGCGTCTTCTAGTGGATGCTGTTTCTTCATGACTTAGTATGTTTATGATCCTGGGAATCGATCCCCCTCTTCTAGTCATGCAGCTGGCTGGCCATAGTTGCTCACAGTGGTCTCTTGTGATCTTCCTCTAGCATCAGTTATAATGTATAGTCTTTCATTTCTAGTTTTATCAAGTCTACACAGAGCTATAACTAACGTGGAGGTGGAGTCAGTGATCAAAAACCTCCCAATATAAAAGTCCAGGAATAGATGGCTTCACTGGTGAATCCCAGCAAGCACTTAAGGGATTTTTAAAACTTTTTATTTCCAACTACACTAAAAAATTAAGGAAGCTTTAGTGCAAAGCTGAGACGAGGTGCATCAACTGAGAGTAAAATGAAAAATGTAGAAAAGGCGACGTGTGTAAGCATGACCTTGGTGCTGAATCACGCGTCTCAGGCGCTGTAGGGGCTCTGGACACTGCGGCCCGGGTGCGGCGTCCATGAGCCGAGGCAAAGCTGAGCACGGAGACACGCCCACAACCCCCCAAGAACCGGCCACTGGACAAACTGCTGGACAATGTCAGTTGGTGACTTTATTTCTTACAAAAGTTACATTGAAAGAAGAGGTTGAAAAGTCAAGTATACTTGATTTGCACATATTTGCCAAGTCTCACAGGATTCAACCACTTCGATAATTTTTATTGATAACCAGGATATACATATTAAAAGCCTCACACTGAAGCTCAGTACACACATCCAACCCCAGTGACGGATGTGCAAATGAGTGTGCAGAACAACCTCGGGAACTCCTGTCTCCTGTTTGTCCTCGGCTGTGACTCAGCCCCCCCCACCCCCTTTTCTGCAGTGACTGAGCCCCCTCACCTCTGCCCTGCAGCCTGTTTCCCTTGGCTACATCTGCTGTCAGCCTGGATCAGGAATGGTGAAGCCCCAGTCAGGATAGAGGATGGGTTAATTCAAACAAAAGCAAAATGGCTCATGGGTGAGCAGAGAGGCGTGGAGACCAGGCAGGAGATGCCCACTCTTCTCAGCGTGGAAGGGGGCTCGGGACCCCAGACTGTGTCAGAGATGGTGGAATCCCGTAAAACATGGACAGACCAGGCAAGTTTAAGGCGAATCCCCAGGGCGGGGAGCTGTTTGCTTTCTGGCATAACTTTAAACTCTGCACCAAGGGTCCTGTTTTATCACTTGTGACGTGGGTAGAGAAACAAACAAAATGATACCCCCCAAAAGTAAGAATTTAAAAAATCAAACCAGTTGTTGCCATCCTGAATGCTGTTTGCAAACCAGGTCCACAGGGCTCCTGCCTCCAGGTCCCTTCCCCTTCTCAGGGCCTCACCTGCCTCCTGCAGGGTCAGCCGTGCAAGCCCAGGGCCACAGAGGGGCCGGTTCACGCTGCTCTGGCCGGAACCACATCGCGGTTCCAAAGCCCTGTCAGGCACTCCAGATTGTTCAAATAAACTGAAAACAGGAGGGAGGGCAACAGAGGACCACACAGGAGTGACTGTTCTTTGGATCTCGATACTCTCCAGTATGCAATACATTCATGTAAACCCCATGGGAGGGGACCCCGCACAGCTCGCCCCTCTTCCCTGAAACATTGGTTTCTAAAAAATAGCTTGTTTGCAGCACACCCCCATGACACGTTGCCTGAACAACACGGCCCACTTTAAAACACACGTGCACGCACACACACTGACACGCGAGGACTTGCTCATGGGGTCAGGGCCCACTGGCCCCAGGCCAGGAGCAACATACAGCCCTGCTGCTCCCGTAGCCCCCACGGGCTCCTGTGTCCAGACCCCTCCTGGACTGAGGGGGCCTGAAGAGTCCCAGGGCCACCGACCATGGCGTTCCTGTCCACTGGACTGGCTTTTCTTCATGACTGAGGAAAGCAGCTCGGCACATAGGATTCTAACAACCCGTGTAACAGCCCACACAGCTTCCTACAAAACGCTGAGCGTGTTAACAGACTCCTGACTGTGCAGGGAGGGAATGACATCTGGCTCCTCCGTGCGGCCACATCCCTTCATTACTGGACAGTGACGTCACTCGTGGGGGAACCCTGCCGTCTGTGACCATGAACATGTGAAGCCCTGCTCGCTGTGGGCCGCTGATTCACTCACCCTTGGGGTCACAGGGGAGCTGCTGATACCCTTTCCAACCCCAGATAATTTAAGTCCATGGACAAGTTCTGGAGTGACGAGAGGGCCTCACACTGAGAACTCTGGGGCCCCTTTCCTGGGTCTCGTCTGCAATCGCCTGAATCTGAAGCCGACGAAGGGGTTCATCCAGAGCAGCGAGGGGGGGCCTCCAAAGACGGACTTCATTCCTTCCCACCGCAGCCGCCGCTCCCACGTCGGCTTCTCGCTCTTCAGCCTCTCGATCTCCTGGGAGAGAAAGAAAAGCAAGTAGGCGGCAGCAGCGGGAAAACCCTGGGCAGGTACTGAGCAGGAAGGGCAAGTGAGCGGCCACCACCCGAACCACACGTCCTGGTGCCAGCCCTGCGGGCCCCTGTGCTCACAGCCGGGCTGTAGCCACTGGGCGAGACCGCAGCAGACAGAGCTGGGCAGGGGTCTCCCGGTGGTGCAAAGCTCAGGCAGCCCGGGGTGCGAGGGGAGCCGGTCCTCTGGGCCAGGCACTGATCTTTCTGGGTCTTATAAATAAGAATCAAGTGCCTGCTGGAGGCCTTCAGCTGAAAGGCATGAATGTGACCCAGTCCCTGCGACTCACTCAGCTGCCGAGGGCGGGGTCTCTGAGAAACGGGGCATTTGCTGACTCCACCTGCCTGGCTCTGTTGACTTTCAAATCAAAGGGACCCTTGAACCCTGAGCTGTGCCCGGGGAGAGGGACACAGGCAGTGAAGCTGTCATGGTCCAGGGGCTACTCCGCTCACCTCCTGGGGAACACCAGGCCCTTGCGTCCACTGCCCACCCACTCCGGTGCACTGAGGCCACACACACCCAGCAGAGGAGGGGCGTACCGTCTCGTCATTGCATATGGAGTGGATCTGGGTGCCGAACATCACCGCGGTGAAAGTGAAAAACAGCAGACCCTCAAGGCACAGGAAGATTAACAGGATGACAGTGACCGGAGGGGAGAAGTCACTGCACTCTGCGAACGAGAGGGGGCTGGCTGTGAGGCACGTCGGAGCACCCCCAGCGTCCTGAGCCGCAGGTGTGGGGGTCCAGCTCGCGGAAGGGCCCCCTCTGTGCCACTGTCCACAGAGAAGCGAGCTCGTTTCATTCACGGGCACACCTGCTGTCCACCCGGGGCAGAGGGTGGCCCTACCAGGCCAGTATTCACACCACCACGGCCTGGTCGGCAGATCTCAAATACCCCGTATTTCCCCAGGTTTCTGTTGAGACTGTATTCGTGTACTGAACTGTGTATTAAAACACAACTAAAGCCAGAAAAGATGGGAGTTGCCTGTGCCTACACTTGTGAGCAGGGCACACACACGAGTCCATGCCGCACGGCTTGTCCTGCCTCATCCGATGGCCCTCAATGATGCCTGGCCAGTGGCCAGAGCACACGCCAGGCCTGCGGGGATCATACGAATTTCCACCCAGTCTCAAAGGTCTGCAGGATACAAATGGAACTCAGCCGAAACTATCAGCTGACTAAGGAAGACCGAGTGTGTGTGTGTGTGTGTACACACATATATATATATGGTGTCATTGTGCCAGGTAAACGGCAGTGTGAGAACTTTCCCACATTCTCCTCTTAAAATGCTCTGTTAATTCCTAAGACAACCGCGAGGATTTCCTCTGAAACTGGAGGCCTCTTCCTCCCTCTCTCCCCACCTCGGCACGAGCAAGAGGAGCCGGCCCCCAGGCCTACCTGTCCACTGTCCTCGGACACAGGCGATGAACTGCAGCCCACAGAGGACCAGCGCGTGCACGGATGCCAGAGCGATGTACATCTGCAGGGAGACACTAGTCAGCATGGTGCCAGGACCTGAGGGTGAGGACCTGTGCGTCTACTGCTACACCTCGGACTCAGTGAGGGTGTGGGAGGTGGGCAGTAGCAGTGAGGGAGCAGGTGACATGCCTCCTCGAGGTCACTCGGGACCAAGGATAGTAATTGCGCAGACTAATACACCATGGGGAAAACACGTTTTAGTGACAACTGAACAAGGTATCCAGGAGAGAGTTAAATCACAGTGAACACTTGGAGCAACACAGGCAACACACACTCATCTGCTGGGCGACTCCCCACCAGCGACAGCACAGTTGTAATCTGAACCCCAGAGAAGGGACTGCAGGTCTGATGTCAGAATAAACGTACACTCGTTTCAGGTAAGACTGTAGATAAAGAATTAAGACTCAACACAAATCACTACATGAATAGTATCTTTACTCACAGTGAAGAGCACAAAAAATCTCTGATTCTTCTCTCCGACACAGTTGTTCACCCATGGGCAGTGATGGTCCATTTTCCGAATGCATCTTTTGCAAATGCTAAGAAGGAGAAGTTAGATTTTCACTAATTTTGTGCTCTGAAGAAACACCACCCACTGAAAACAGCTCTGCTAAGAGGCCGCCTGGGGGGATCCTGCCCCAGGGAAGGTGGGTGCTCAGGATGTCCTTTCGAAGTGGTCCCAGCGGTGGGGGGGGGGAGGGGGGGTGTTGCTCAGGCTGCCCTAAGGATGGGGGGGTCCCTCCAGTGGTGGGTATTCAGACTGCCTGGAAATGGGTACCCTTCTGTCAGTGGTGGGTGCTCAGCACCCCCCCCACCCCGGCCCGGGGCCCGCGGTCCCCCCGGTGCAGAGCCGCCGTGCCCGCAGTGGTGGGCGCGCTCAGGGCGCCCCCCCGCCCCGGCCCGGGGCCCGCGGTCCCCCCGGGGCAGGGCCGCCGCGCCTGCAGTGGTGGGTGCGCTCAGGGCGCCCCCCCCGCCCCGGCCCGGGGCCCGCGGTCCCCCCGGGGCAGGGCCGCCGCGCCCGCAGTGGTGGGCGCGCTCAGGGCGCCCCCCCGCCCCGGCCCGGGGCCCGCGGTCCCCCCGGGGCAGGGCCGCCGCGCCCGCAGTGGTGGGCGCGCTCAGGGCGCCCCCCAGCCCCGGCCCGGGGCCCGCGGTCCCCCCGGGGCAGGGCCGCCGTGCCTGCAGTGGTGGGCGCGCTCGGGCTTGATGCAGCAGCACTTGGGGCACTTGTAGATCACTTCCCCGGGCTTCAGTTGCAGGCTCTCCATGTACTCTTTAGTGGCGTTTCCTTTGGGTACTGCCCCCTGTGGTTTAACAACAACGTATTTTAGCTGGGAGGAGCGAAGTTTTAAGAAAGAAAAGAACCCAGTAAATTTAGGAATTAGTCTTAGCATTTACAATGCTGTCCTTGCCACTTATACCAATGTGAAAAACAGCTATTATGTAACATAGGGCCAGAAGTTTTGTTTTCATGAAAAACTGAGCTATAAAATGAACTAAAGTAGCACATTATCCTTCATGATTTGGTGAGTCACCTGGATTTTTCCAACTTCATGTAGGACACACCAGAGGCTGGCTGTGTTTGCTCAGCCACTCTCCCTCCACCCTGGGCTCTGGGCAGGGTGTCCCTGATAAGCACACCCACAGGTTTCCTATCAGCTGCAGCAGGGGGTGGCTGAACAAAACAGTCGGAAAAAGGACTTTTATCTCGTGTTTTAAAGTTACATAATGCTTCCCTGCATACCTATCACAGCCTGGGGACTGTGGCCCTGGGCCCCTGATGCCCAGGTGTCCGGCCCCAGGGGTGGGAGTAGCTACCAGGCTCTCAAAGGGTGTCCACACGAGCCCCCAGCACTGGGGAGTTGCAGAGGGCCGGGGAACCTGTGTGCTGGGTGGCCATGGGCCACAGGCTGCAGAGCGGAGGGCTTGCTCTCTGGGCGGTGGACACAGGCAGTGAAAATCATGTCTGGAAGATCATTCTGGACGCCATGGCCGTGTGGACTGGGAGCAAGGCCTGGGTCTCGTTTCTGTGCCCCATGGGGCTTGTCCTTCACACAGAAATACGTGTTTCTGGAGAAGGAGCCCCACTAGGGAGGAGAGAGCAGGCGTCTGGGGACATCAAGGGCGGGGGAGATGGCAGGGCACCGCTGTCAGCAGGAGTAAAGACAGAGCCCACTGCCGGGGACAGAGGAGCCGAGCCCAGCTCTGCGTGGCCAGGCTGATACCACGTCTGCAAAGCCCAGCAGGCGTGTGTGAAGACCGAGGACCACTGGGCTCCAAGGCCCACAGGAGCTGGGCAGCCTGCCCTATCGCCGGAAGGAAGTGATGTGGGGGAGGGTCACAGGTTACGTAGGAAGAAAGGGACCAGGTTTAGGAGTGCCACCCCTTCGTTCTCATGGACACACACTCGCTGCTCCACAGTAAGGCACGTGACCCCCACCCACCCACCCACCCAAGAGTGCTCCTACGTGCTCAGAGGACAGATGTGCAGCCCAAGGCGGGGACGCTGCGGGCCAGGTCGCCAGCCTGTGCCCAGGAACTTGACCCCCAAGGCCACAGGAGTGTGAGACCCTCCGGCCACAGCCGCTGGTGTCTCCCCAGCCCAGACCTGGCAGGAAAGCCCTGCGAGGGCGGGCACTCACAGGGTCGGTGAGCATGGTCCGCAGGTGAGACGACAGGGCGAGCACTGCCAGGCAGTTGAAGACCACCCCGTTGACCACGGAGTACCAGAAGTCCCTGGAGGGCAGCAGCATGACGAACGTGACCACGAAGTCCGCGTACGCGACCAGCAGCCAGGTCAGCACGGCGCAGACCATGCCGCAGCCGTCGCGGATGAACCACACCCTGTCGGCCGCGTCGGCCTCGGCGGGGGAGGAGGCCGCGGGGTCACAGCTGTCATTCTCGCTCAGCAGAGGGTGGTGCTCGACGTCCCGCAACCGGTGCCCTGAGGACGGCATGGTTCCCTGCGGGAAGGCGGAGGGGGCACGCCTCAGCAGGACGGCGGCCAGACACACGCTGCGGGGCCCGGGCTCCAAGCCCGAGGGGACCAAGCCTGGTGGACAGGTGACGCCTGCTGCTCATGTCCACGCTGGCCCTCGTACGCGGAGCTCAGGGTTCTCACCCAGCGAGTCTCCATCTCACCTTGAGTGTGCTCTCCCTCCCCCCAAGTTCTAACTCTGATGATGGGTGAGCATGTTTTTGAGGCAGGCTCCCATTTTAATCTCCATCTTCTTTATATTGTTCCTAGAATGCCCTTCCTCCCTCATTCTTTTGACAGTTTCCCTCACTCACTGGTCTGTTCTTTTGACAACTCTCCCGCATTTCCTGGGAAATTACCTGACAGGCAAGAACATGTAGGGTCAGACATGCACTTTTCCTCATAAACATCCTGCTGTCTCTTTACCCCTATAACTCCTCTCATCTCATTTACAACCAGATGCAACAGCGTGAAGTTGGTCCGTCTCTCAGATCTGGCGAGTGGCCTGGTGATCGCCACACAAGCTTCCTAGTGGGTCATACACGTCCACAGAGGCTGAGAAAATCCTCTGGCCAGAATGCCACTGCTGCAGAGCTACTCCTCAGGTAGGCAGCAGGCTGAGAAGTGGCACCCGGGTGCTGGACAGGGAGCAGAGCCATGCGTCCGGAGACGGAAGAGCCTTTCGTCAGAGCTCGGTGGTCTGGTCCAGAAACAGGGGCACAGATGGCAGCTCTGACTGCGAGGAAGAGTGATCGCACACACACCAACCTGGGTGGGGACCGTCCCAGAGGCACGATAGGGTCCCGCTGTGTCCCTCAGAGCCAGACGTGTAACACCGACCCGGAGGCAGAGGGAAGACAGTCTCATACCCCACAGTTACTTCCCAAGATGTTCAAGAAAGCAGTCCATGAACTCGGGGAGGCTGGGCTGCACAGACTGGGCTCTCTGTGACGGAGCGCAGGTGCCTTCCGCTGAGTCACAGCACCTACGCCCTGTCAGTGTAACAGGAAGGGAGGGGAGGAAGTGCAGAAACTGTTCCCTCAGGCTCAACTCAGCTACAGACACTGGGAACACGAGAGCACAGCAACGGGCGATGCGACCCCAGGTCGAGGGCGCAGCCTCACTCTGCAGCAGCACCACCTTCGAAAGGAATGCTCTGGATTTCGGTTTCCCGAGAGAAACCTGAAAGCATAGTGTGTTGACTGAAGGCCAAGCAGATATCGCATCATCGGTTTTCTACTTTCATGGCTAGTTTAATGGGATTTTGTCTACACCCCTGAACCTGTTTCTCCTCGTGTTAAAGCAAGCCTCACTTCCCAGAACACCAAGAGCAATGCTGCAGATCTCCATTCAAGCAAAACCTTTGCAGTGATGCAGACTGGAGAACTACCCTCATTTTGTGACTCTTGCTGATAATCGGGGTCTTGCTCCAGAGACTCACTATGCTTTTAGGGTAGGTGGGCAGCAAACCAAAGACAGGAGGGGACTCTCAACCATTAACGGGTGCAAGTTAGCGCGAGCAGTTAGAGAGGAAACAGTGATTATATACCCAGGGAAACACTTACCTCACAAGTTATCACTAGACATCACTTGAATATTTTGTGCCTTTTCTTGAGGATCTTAAGGTGCATACTGTCCTATGTGATAGGATCTGGAAGATAATAAAATCTAATTAGAAAAGTTACTTGTTCTGGCATTCAGAACTATCTTTGTGAAATCATGACTCCTGTAGGTTTTCCTTGCTAGTAAATTGACTGAGAATCCTGAAAATTTTAAACCTGTCCATTTTACCCCCCTGTTACATTAGCCCCGGTTTTAAATAAAACCTGTAAGCCAAAATCCTTTGAGAAAGAGCCCTGGGGATAATCCAGACCAAATCTAGTCAGGCTGCATTTCAACAGGTAACTGTTTCCCCAGCCACAGCCGAGGAACTGCAGCAAGCGATGGGAGTGAGAGGTGAGAGGTGCGCCAGGGCCCCCAGGGGAAGGGCCCTGGGAGGGGGGGCACGAGTGAGCAGGTGGGACGGGGAGGAGCGGCCAGGGCTCACTGGGCTCACTGGCAGGTGGGCGAGCAGACACAGCCTTCCTGGAAGCACTCATCTGGCCCAGGAAGAAAGGCCGACTGACACGAGGTGGGGGTATCCCCCAGAGAGGGCAGAGTGCCGCCAGGCTTCCCCAAGAGCAGGGCCGCCAGAGGCCAGCGGACCACGGACACGGCCCCCTCCACGCGCCTGGCAGATCTCATGCTTAAATGTCAGCGAACAGCCAAGAGTCAGGCATTCTGGAGAAAGCTCCAACCAAGTCTCATGAGAGACAGAGCCCCAGAAAGAAGCCAGAGGGAAACAGGAGTTGAGAGCAGGTATAATGCACAGGGAAGAAAACCGAAGAAATAAGAGACTGCATTTGTGAGACAAAGAGGAACATTCTGAGAACTTCCTACTTATTGAAAAACAATATGATAGAATTTTAAAATCTTAAACAGGATTGGAAGAGAGTGGGAAGCCTCCCAGAAAGGAGAATTAAACAAAAAAGAGGCAGGGGAAATAGGAGTTTGAGATTAACAGATACATGCTACTGTATAGAAACTAGATAAGCAACAAGGACCTGCTCTATAGCACAGGGAACTGCGTTTGACACCTTGTAAGAATGATAATGGCAAAGAATCTGGAAAAGAATACACACACACACACACACACGCGCGTGCGCGTATGTATGTGTGTACATATATATATATATATAATCGAATCACTCTGCTGTACACTGAAACTGACACAGAATTGTAAAGCAACTAAAAAACAAACTGAAAAAAAGTCAGAAAGACCATAGGAGAGAAGGAATCAGAGGACCAACTTCCAAACAACGGGATGTCTGGCAAAGGCAGCCCCCAGCCGAGACGTCCTTCCTGGCACAGTTCCACTGCTGCCCCAGCCCCCAGCCGCGGCGCCTGAAGGCCGGCCCGCTCCATTTGCACCCCGTGTCCTACAGTGTGACACTGCTCTGCTGGGCAAACCCTCGGCTGGTGTCTGTTTTCTCAAACCAAGACCCCTAACTTAAGACGCCAGAGGGCTGGCGTGAAGGACGGTGAGCCGCCAGGGCACTGGTGGGACTGGGGAGCAGGTAGGCTAAGGTTCCCTGGTCTCCTCCAGGGCACGGGCTCTGGGCTCTGGGTCCCCCAGGAACTGGGGGCTGCTCGCCGCATCCTGGCCACGTGCGCCCCCTTCCGCCGTGCTGGCTCTGGGGTCAGGCTCCCCTGCCCGCCTCCACGCTGAGCTGGACAACCTCCTGCCCACAGCCAGCGCTGGCCCGCACACCAAAGCTCTCTGGTGTCCCTGTGACTCTGAGTGCCTTCGGAACTCTTAGTAACACATGCGGCCATGAACCACAAGCTGCTTAAACTACAGTAGGTGACCTTCTTTTTGATAACTGTGTGTATTTATAACTTGACGTATTTTTCGCTGACTGGGTCTTCGTTGCTCTGCAGGCTCTTCTCCAGCTGCAGGGAGCAGGGGGGGCTCTCTAGTTGGGGTGCGTGGGGTTCTCATTGCCGTGGCTTCTCTTCTCGCGGGACACGGGCTCTACAGCATGTGGCCCTCAGCAGCTGCGGCTCCCGGCACAGGCTCGGGCTTAGCTGCTCCATGGCATGAGGGATCTTCCCAGACAGGGATCGAACCCATGTCTCCTGCATTGGCAGGCGGATTCTTCAACCACTCAGTCACCAGGGAAGCCCAGAGCTGACTTTTAAAATATGGCATTTACATATAGTAACTTTATTCAAGTATCTATGCGGTAGCCAACAACTTTAAATGCTGAATAACGTGCTGAACCAGTAATGCCTAATTATGCTTAGTAATATTTTCCACTTTTCATTCACATTCATTCTGAATATCTTCAAATGAGCTTATGTTAGCAGTGTTTTAAAAGAAAACTGACTCTGCAAAACACAGGTCAATGCATCCCAGGCCTCGGGCCTAAGCAGAATCTCTACAGTGAGGCCAAATCCCCAGTTACTTTCATAAATTTTAAAAAGTAACCAACACAGCAACCACTTTGGAAAGTTGTCTGGCACTTTCTCCAAGTTAAACCAAACACCCGCCCTGTGACTTGGAAATTCCACTTCTAGGTATTTACCTCAAGGTGAATGTGACCCAGGCTTCCCAGGTGGCTAACTGGTAAAGAATCCGCCTGCCAATGCAGGAGATGCGGGTTTGATTCCTGGGTCAGGACCATCCCCTGGAGAACATGGCAACCCACTCCAGCATTCTTGCCTGGGAAATGCCACAGAGAGAGGAGCCTGGTGTGCCACAGTCCCTGGGTTTGCAGAGCTGGACACGACTGAGTGAGTGAGCACACACGCGTGAGTGTGAACACAGAACATGCACACAGCTGGTCACTGCTGCTCCGTTCATCACATCCACCAAACCAGAACGCCCAAACATCCCTCCCCAGGGGATGAACAAACACACCATGGTTATTCATACAACTCATACTAAAAAATGGGGGGGGGGGTTTAGATACATGCAACAGTGTGGCTAAGTGAAAGAAACCAGACACAGAAGAATGTATTCAGTAGGAGTCAATCTCCATGGCCCTCTAGCCAAGCAAAGCTAATGTACTTTGAAAGAACTCAGAATGGGGTTGGACCACAAGAGGGAAGGACCGAGACCCCAAGGCAGCTTTCTGATTTGATGCAAAGTCCCCTACGTGGCCAGGGCAGCAGGCTATAGACACACACACACTGTCAGGACAAAACTCAGCAAACTGTTAGAGGACAGTTAGGGGGCTTCCCTGCTGGTCCAGTGGCTAGGACGCAGCCCTAAGATAGGGGCCCGGGTTCAGTCCCTGGTCAGAGAACCAGGTCCCACATGCTGCAGCGAACTCAGCAATCCAAATACATATTTTAAAATAAAACAAAAAATTACACACTTAAAATTGTCCGTTTCATTTTACATGAATTATTCCTCAACTAAAAACTGAAGAGAAA